CGGGCGAGATCCCAATTCGTCAGTCACGACTGACGTAACGTCGAACGTGACTGACTGAAAGGGAACAACTGCACATTGATATTCTGTTTAAGCAGCTTCATAATCCAGCTAGCAAAGAGCCACACACTTGATAGGCTAATTCAATTCCTCTGTCAAACTTGCATTAAAGGAATCTTTTTGTATTAAATACAACTTCAGCTGTACTGATATCATCTTTGGTCTGTTATTTATTTCCACGGTATTTAATTTTGACTCGCCCTTCAGTTTGTAAAAAAGAATAGAAAACATGTTGTGATAGTTGAAGCCTTCTAAAAGTAGCTTATGTTAAATATTTTTCTACAAAGGGTGTTGTATAGGTCTTGTAATTTGTATTTAATGCTAAATATCATTATGCTAAATATCTCTTTGAAATTGTCACAGAAGCTCACAGCTACAGCTAATCAGATCATTTATATCAGCTTATTAACATATTTGCAGTTAGCTTATAAAACTTGCATTTATTCAGGGCCACAGTTTCCCTCTTCATTATAAAACCTCAGTATTAAGTTAGAAGTTAGAAAGTGGATATAAGGTTAAGGTAACACTTTATTTCGATAGTCCACTTTAGACATTCTATTAACAGTAAGTAACTTTGCAACTACATGTCAACTAGCAGTTAGTAGAGTATTAGTAGACTGTCTGCTTAATATCTTCTAACACTTTCTTTGTCAACTTATTCTACTAACCCTAAACCTACCCTAACAGTCTACTCTGAGAGTTAGTAGACATGTAGTTGCAAATGAATGAGAATTAGTTGACATGTAGTTGACATGTAGTTACAAAGTTACTTATAGTTAATAGAATGTCTAAAGTGGACTATCGAAATAAAGTGTAACCAAGGTTAAATCTAAAATGGTCACGCTGTACTTCAACACACCTCATCTTAAATCATCTAAGGACCGTTTGGCACATCTAAGATAGTTCTGCAGATCCTGTGCTTATTTTCACCAGTGTAAAAAGTGTAGAGCTGAACTGTTCCTTCATTAACACCTTTGCAATCGTATCTTACCTTGACTATTTGTATTTTCACAGCACAGATTTTATGCTGAGGTGATGATATAGAGAATATAAACAACTTATTAGCGCTTGAAGGCACAAATTAATTTTCTCATTGCGGGCTGCTTGACTGTAATGGGGACGTGCAGTTACTCCTGATAATTCTTTTACAGGTGGATCTGAGCCTTATAGAATCTTATTTTGCAGGTATGTGTGGGTCTGCTTGAGGCTGGTGTGTAACTGTGTCAGACTAATTTGTTCAAGGTCACATGGTGATGATCAGATCCCCACAATGAAAGAATATCATTAAGATTCTGGCAATAAAACTGTCACTACTACTGTTACAGTAAAGAAAATTTTCTTGCACAAGTTAGATACTTCAGTGATCCTTGAGGAGAAATTTGATATCACTGCAAAAATACAGAGAACACAAAACAGATATACAGTACTATATATAGACTCGCAGTATAGGGTTATGAAACGTTATGCAGTGCAGTAATGCATTCATGTGACATCACTGGAATGTGTCTAGACAGTTAACAGTGCAAAACACACATACACATCTGAAATGCAATGAAACATTAACTGTAAACATGCATCAGCTTGAAAGCCACTGGCATATAAATGAAGTAGAAAAAAAACTGTAGATGAGTGACTTTCATAGCAAGGAAAAACAGACAGCAGCAATGTTTAAAGTGACTAATGGTCGATTTTCTTTAGTGTACATTAAAAAACAGCATACAAGAAAAAAAAAACTGATTTCAGATTACTTCAAGACATGTTAGTGCTTTTGCTACAAACACAATGTGTGATGAACTTAGATCACATTTAAACCTATATTCAGGCCTGATCACTTGTGATTGGATCACTGTAATAATATGAGGTATAAATGTGTAAATTCCCAAGTAATTATTGGAATTCACCACCTCCACGTTTTACAACTGAATGAATCCCTGGTGTTCTAGAAATCCACCACCAACCTCTTTGTTTAGCAGATGTTTAGCTGCATGTTGCTCTCTGCATTGTCAATAGATTTCCTCAATATCCAACAAATCCCAGTCTTTCTTCTCTAACCCATCCAGCAGAACATCTTAATCTTCTTTTGTCCATTTCTTCATGGTTTCAGTGGTTTCAAACCATTGCTGGATGATTGACTGAAAGTCTAAACAACATCAGTGAACACAGAAGCTCAAGCTCAACACAAACTCCAGCATGTGTGAATCCATGGAAGGTTTCAAATGAAGACACTTGTGTTTTTTTCCTCTCTTTTGTGCAGCTGGTGTTGGATAAAAGTGTTGTGAGGATCTATCGCACATTTTGAGCCACAAAAGCCCCCAGTGACTCATTATAGACTGCAAAAGCCAGCCGTCCCTAAAGAGAGCTTGGGATATTATCACACCCGCACAGAGAGACAGTGAGACTGAGACCTCACATCCAATGAGAGAAAGAGAGAGAGAGGGAGGGAGAGGATGCTGGTTTAAATGTAGACACATCCAGACCACAGCTGTTTCTCATTTTCAGTGATGATAAAATGTTAAATGCTTAGGAATTTCTCAATCATATATTGCAAATGTATATATTTATATTTTTTGCTTTTATTAATATATTCTTCTCCATTAAGAGCAACTAACTTTAGCTAAAGCTCTGGGCCATAACACAAAGTTCCTGAGGGATGTAAATAACGATGATGATAACAGACGCTTCCATAAATGAACATAAACATGAGCCACTAAATTACCAGCCTGTGGAGAACTTTAATTTTCTTTTGCTTTCTTCTCTTGTTCAATCCCACTGACGAACAGAGTTTTATGTAAATGTATCAGTGTGTGGTTTCATCTGAACTCACACAGATGCTTCTATTATCACTGGAATTCATAAGTATTGTTATCAGCGCTCTTCTAGCACAGAATCTCTCTCTATAGTGTCCTTACAAACATGCACGCTTAAATACTGTTTCCCAGCAGGATCATATTGCTTCATCTCATGCATAATGTCTTCCTGACTGTGCTATAGTTTCCTCTGTGATATAGGCCTACTGTAAACTTTCAGCCCAGTAACTCCAGCGTCTGCTGTTTACATCAGTTTTTGCTAAAATTAAAAGTTTCCCTCATTGTTTTATTAACAATTTTTCAGTCAGTTTTAAATAAAATCTTCATTTTGGCATATTCAGACACAATTAAGACACATTAAATAAAATCATCTTACTGAATGATTTGAGGTGAGTCACCAGCAGCCTGAAAAGGATTTTGTCCATTCCTGTCAGTTTTCCAACTAACACAAATCCCTAACGATCCAGCTCATTCCCCACAGCTGAGACTGATGTCACGAAACAATCCAGGCTGCTCTTCTCATATTAGATGACTAAAGTTTGACATTTTATGCTTAAAATCGGTCACGTGCCTGTGTAAAGTTCACTGCTACAATGCTAGGTTGCTGTGACGGTTGACAGGGTGTTGCGGTTGCTAAGGTGTTTGGAGTAGTTTTTAGCATGTCGTCTCAAGATACAACATTTCTTATCACAATATCTTTTTCTAGCTAATGAACAGAGCTCTTAGTTTCTTAAGCAGTTAGCAGTAGCTATACTAAGTAAACAAGGTCGCTAACGCTAACCGAAGGCATTTAGTGATAATCTTAGAGTAAGCTAAGCTGCTAACCAGAGGCAAACTGAAAACACAAAGAAAGATGTATTGTTTTAAACATTTTTACATTGTTGACGTGATATGTAATTTAAAAGACATTCATTATCATATTTTCATGATTAAGCATAAAAACACCATTATGTATTGTTATATATATATATAAGTTCTTATCAGGCACTGAATAGAGTTAAATGGGGCTAATGGCACACCTTAAGGGAAATGTGCTTTTCCCTGCTTCCATAGTGATTGATTGCATATTTTTATTGAACAACACATTCTGTGGAAAAATAAATCATAAAAAGTAGTTTGTTTTGTTTGGTATAAAAGGCTCACCAGCATGTGGCAAAAGGCCCCCAGTATTTGTACAAGTACAATAACTAAAGTAATATGTTTTGCATAATATTAAAGTTAATACTTTTTCTCAGTCAATAAAATGGCTTTGTTGCGGAAGGGGGAAACTGTTAAAGTTAAGTTCAAATAGCATGTATGGAGTGTGTTTAAATGATTCGGTCTTGCATTCGATCTCATAAGGTTACAGTATTTATTGCTGTTGGTCGGCTCTGCTGTGCTCTTGTCGTCTGGAGTAATTTACGATGGCAGACAGCAGACCACGTTCACCTGTGTGTCAGCCATTTAGACAGCTGAAAGAGGGGCGGCCATCCATTGTGACAGCTGTCAGACAGGCTTTTACTGGATGTGCACTCATACCTAGGGATGTTCATACGCACACTAACACATGAAAGCACACACTCACAGATGAATCGACTTCAAAATGAGGTGGCGACACAGAACATGACAGCGATCGGGTGACGGGTGATACACAGCTGTGTGTGTGTGATAGAGAGATAGCAAAGCACTCTGGGAAAGAATGAAAGCTGATTTCTTTGAGCTTTGACATTGCTGGGATTTCTTTCAGCTTCACAATCATCTGATATTTCTGATTTTGTCACTTTGCCTGCTTGTACTGAGACAGAGAGGATATCGCCCATATATATCCCACAATCGCATTAAGTCGTGGGAGTCCTTGTGTGTAAGATTATGTGCGTCATACAGTAGGTATCTGCAGCAGTGACATTTAAACCCCTGAGATCAAATAGAAGCATTTCAGCTGTTATTTCTCTCTTTGTCTCATTTCAGCTTCCAGTGGCAAATACCGCTTACGCTGGCAGTGGGAAACTCCAGTCACATATCAACAGAGACCATCATTTGGGTCTCCAATAAAACAGGTACCAATTATGCCAAATGTTTTCATTTTAACCACTAGATAAAAAGTAATAACATATTTTTCTTATACCTTGAATACACGCGTGTACACATTTATTTTTTATTTTTTTCAAAATGTTTTAAAATTTATTCTTCAAGGTTAAAAAAATTATTTTTACAAATGTCATGAATTATTAATTTATTGCACCATGTGAGTCACACAACGTAATTTGTCTGTCATGAACTAAACTTGCCTCGTCATAAAGAGGACATATTATCTAACATAATATTTTAAGGGACTTAATGACCTTGACAACCAATCATGAGAATCCCCATTATATAATTTCCTGACTTTGACTTATGACTTTGATTTATTTTTTGAAGACTTTGAAGTTATTATTATTATTATTATTAAATAAAATATTAGAGATAAAAATAAAAGATTATGCCAAACTACATTCTTTTAATAAAGCTTTTCCTTTATTATATTGTCAGCATACCCTGACATTTCTGACATATCAAAAATTATCAAAAAGTATTTTAATTACTAAGAAGACATTAAAAGCATGGTATATTCATGATTTATGTATTATGTATTATTCATACCATTATTGTATGTATTACATTTTTTAAGCGTATTTTTAGATCTGAACAGAACATTGATTGTCATGTCCTTGACCTATGAAGTCCGCGACTGCTGTCATATCAGCCAGCGACACATAAAAATACAGATAAAAGTACAGATTTTATTGGAGTTCCTAATTAAAGACTAATTCAGCTCCTGAGAGAAATGCCCTTTTACAACACATTCAAAATACTATTCATCTGTGAGTCACACCTTCATGCAGCAGCCCCACATCCACCCCCATTATATTCAATTCTGTTCCATTCCTTTCCTCTCCATTGGGAGAGCGAGGTGGATTTTCTTCGGATGGAGCCACAGCGAGTCAAATTCCAAGAGCCGGAATTGAATTAGGTCTGTGAGTGATCCGTGTGGCTCAGAGCTCAGAGTTCCTCTGATTGTGAAACCATTTAACAGCCTCCATTTTCTGCTCACCTTCTCTGAGAAACAGCCCTCATCAGAGCTACAATGCAGATCCACAGCAGCGCGTTCAAGATTAAGTCTTGAAAGAAACAGAGACTATAACATAGAGACCCTATTTATATATTTATAGTCTTGACCCTATTTATAGTCTTGAATGTCATTAGTCTTCAGCGACTCTTGAAAGAAACAGAGACTATAACATAGAGACCCTATTTATATATTTATAGTCTTGACCCTATTTATAGTCTTGAAAGTCATTAGTCTTCAGCGACTATTGAAAGAAACAGAGACTATAACATAGAGACCCTATTTATATGCATTAACTCACTGCCTGACTCTTGCGATCTGGCCGCTGACGGTTAGATGCTCCCTGGATCACGATTCACTTCAAATGCACTGAGTCCACGAGCGCTCGAGAGCACTTAACCAGTGCATTTGTTATCCATAAAAAAGCCCAAGGTCTGGCTGGAATATTACAAGATGAGAACGCGGCAAACACATTAGATTACAGATGTTGTGCATTACAAAATGCTGAATGCATCGTCTCTTCCTGTACATTTTCATGCTTTTATGAGTTCATTCCAAAGATGATAAATGCGCTGAAAATTGCAGAATATACCAGTACATATGAATTATTGTGAGCAGTATGTTTAATTTTCTGTTATATTTAATTAGAAATGCAGTCAGTTTACTTTAATTCACTTATTTTTTTACACACATTTTGTTTCTTTTATTATTTTTTTTTTAACTTACTTTGTTATCTAATGATCACATCTGTCTGTGAGTGTCTAGATGTCATTTGGTGCCATGTGTTTCTGCTCATTTGCATGTGATTTGAGCTACACTGAGCTGTCAGAAGCATCATTAAACATTTGTTTCATGCTCTTTTTTTTACTCGTGTATTTATAGAGACACACAGAGTGGGACACGTGGACGGATAGGCTTTACTTCTGAATCACACTGAACAGATGAATCAATAATTTCTGAAACCTGATTTCCCTAAAACGCTTGATTATACTGGAAGACTGTTCATAGATGTCAGTCATCAAACAAATCCAAAAAGCCTGGGGTTTCAAGAGGTTACATCACGATTAACAAATCTGTATGAAAATCAAAGTGTTGCAAAACTGTGGTTTTGCATTCATAACACTCTCCAAGCTGATTAAAATAGCATCACCAGACAATGTTCAGATATTTGATCTGCTAATGCCAGATGAAGCAAATTGAATGTGATCATGTCATATTCACCAGCTGTAGGAATGCATCAGCAGTATGCAAAATATGATATATTCATCTTTGCATGATGCATTAAGTTTTGTGTAATCATACCAGCAGTTAAACCTAAATACTCAGTCAGAAACGTTTAGCCATTTGGCACCAATAACACCTCTACTTCCTTTCCGTTGACTGTCAACCTCCAGTCAACTTCAGCAGGGATGGTTTCTTCATTAGGGCGACGCACCACCAACGTGTGCAAGGGAGGGATTTTTTTTCAAGCACATTTAACCACAGCTGTCACTGTTCTATAACTTTTGTTCTGCCTTTGGATATGTGGTCCAATCATCGTCCAGTCAGATTCTGTGGAGTACCGGCCCTTTTTGGGCGAATGCACTCTGGCCAGATTGTTCTCATAGACTTCCATACAAATTTTTTATTTTTTTATTTTTTTTTTCAAACTGCAGGCACTGCAGCGCAATCTCTGCGAGTTCTGGGAGGGCTAGCACTAACATGCTTTCGTCATCAGATGTAACCTTAACTTGTGCAGCGATTGGTGGGAAGAAACATACCTCTAAGAAATATGAAGTCAGGACTAGTCTGTATGGGCTGAATAAAGCAAACCAGTATCTCACCAGTAAAATTTAAGTGGATGACGATTGTAATGGATGTAAAGACGATTACAGTGACATACAGCCAGACTCAAAAAAAAGAGTCTCATGAGTCAGAATTCGGCTCAAAATCAGATGAAAATCACACAGTGTATGCCCGGTGTTATTATTAATTATAGGGCTTGCCTGTTTTCATGTGTCTTTCAGACAACCAAATAGGTGATGTGTTCGGCAGGTGCCCTCTTATCCACTTTTTCTTCCCGTAAAAATGGGCATGGCCATTTGTAAATTCTATCCGTCTGGCTTCCGGTCTCATCTGCGTCCAGCTATTTTTAGCTGTACAGAACCGCTCGTTTTGCTGCTTGATATTGAAAATTGGTGTGTCTTACCATATTATTTGAATGTGTTGTCTTAAAGGGGTCATATGATGCTATTTTAAAGATCATTATTTTGTGTATTTGGTGTAACAGAATATGTTGACGCTTTAATGTTCAAAAAACACATTATTTTTCAAATACTGTACATTATTGTAGGTCCTCTATGCCCCGCCTCTCTCAAACACGTCGTTTTCAACAAAGCCCCTTCCTTTGACAAGCGCAGTCTGCTCTGATTGGCCAGCTGACCCAGTGCATTGTGATTGGCCGAACACCACAAGTACGCGTCGGAAATGTAACGCCCCTTTCCATAATCGCGAGCTTCAGCTTTCAACATAAATGTAAAGACAGTTCACATTGTGAAGTTGTCTAAGGACTATGTCCTTAGTTTTACCATCAGTTCAAGCCCGAAAGGGGAACAGTCGCGTGACAGACACAGTGATGATGCTCGTATGTATTTGCAGTACACAAGCCGCGATTAAGAAAGCTGACTCCACTGTGATGTGACCAGTGGAGTCTCTCCACTGTCTCTCTCTCACTCACACACACGACGCGATACTCTACATAGCGCAAAACTCCACATTTGAACAGTCAATAGCAAATACTTAAACTATTAAGAAAACATACTTACCGTAGCTGATTCAGAATAAGTGCCAGATTGTCATAGCAAAGTCGGAAACACAGTGTCTCCCTGACATGGCTGCATCAACACTACTGCGGTTTCTGAAACCACGCCTTCTTTCTTTGCATGAACATTTGGGCGGCATTACGCAAATATTTCCACATCGTGACGTAGAGATGTGGGGGCGTGTTTGAATGAGGCGTTTTAGCCCGGTCTGGATCAGCCTTCTCTTTTAGATAGAATAAATCCTTTTGTGGGAGACTTTGAGCTTTGTAACTCTACAGATCTTATACATGCACAAATAGCTACATAACTCACTAAAGAAAAGGAAAAATAGAAATCGCATCATATGACCCCTTTAATTACGAACACACTGGTTTATAATGCAAACAGTTTTACCGTTTACTGCACGTTGTTATTCTTCTCGTTATTTCCATATAGCGGCTAATGAACTGGAAGTCTTGCCCATAGGCTTACTTCCACGTTGAAGAAAAAGGTGGATACTCTTCTTTTTTTTTTTTTCGAGTGAGAAGTAGTAGTTTGCCGGTACAACACTCAAAATTTGAGGTCTCATGTGATGGAGTTGATTTAATGAATTGATTTATTTATGTACAAACTGTGGATGGTGGATGTACAAAGATGTGGGTCAGTTTGGAAGAGTGTGAAAAATGTTTGTTTTTAGTACACTTCACCAAACCCACACTACAAAAGAATCAAAGAATAAAACCCAGTAAACCTTGATAATATTATTTGTGACATTAGAAGAAAATATATGGATATAATGTATGTATAAAACTAAACTGAACAATGTCTTAAATATTTTTTTTTCTAGTTTCATTTAACATTTTCCTTTCATTGACAGTTTTATTATACACGGACCTTTACTTTCATTAAAAAGGTGTATTTCTGCACATTTTGTAAATGGAAGCTATTTAAATGATATACAAGCGCAAACAGGGTGCTTAAAAAAATCTTCAGCTTTTGTGGTTATTTCTCATCAAACACAACTTTAAGCAAATAGTGTTAAATCCTATCTAAATGAATTCTAATTCTATTTTATACAACACAAATAAAACGTGCTTCACTTAAAAAGCCTTGGAAAACTATGCAAAAAAATGATATGCTTTGTTTTCCCTCAAAGCTTCAAAAAGCGCTTGATGGAGTTTGAACTTCACATCAAGCTGCTTCCGATTCACACAAATGCCTTGAAGTCATGCATCTTCAGAAGCGGAGGCGCAAAGTAGAAAATATAGTTTTGTGGGAATCATCCTCAATCTTGAACTTGGTAAAACAATTATCTTTATTTAAAATGTTTCAGGTCTTAATACTTTTCCTTTTGTTATACTGGGATAAATCATACCGGATTGTATGCTAAAATTGTTGGATGTGGCGCCCTACCTAGAAAATTCTCCACCAGCCGCCACTGACGTTCATTACTGACAGATGCCGTTCTTGTACTGCAAGTCTCTTTTCTCCTTTAGCCTGGAGGCGTTACTGAAGAAAAACCCTTTAGCTCATCAAGATGAGACCTGCGGTGAGACTATTGAGCCGTTACAGCAATAGTGGATAATAAGAAAGCGAGGGAAAACCTCTGTGTTTCTGCCTTTCCACTGCTGCCTCATTGTGTCAATCCTTCAGAGCTTCATCAGCTGCTGGAAACTCACGAACGTCCATTAATGTGAGAAGAGGAAGAGACAGAACGATAAAGGTAGATAGAGAGAAGAGCGCTACTTTCTGATAGAGTGTCCTCTGAAAATTTATAGTGCCACAGGCTGACAAACTGCCATTAGTCCCTTCAGGAATGACTGTTCTCCCTAAGGTCCTCTCTGTTTAATACAAAAACTCACTCATTCTGCTTAATGAAAGAAATATTCAACCGCTGGCAGCTAGAATCAGTAAGCAGCCAAATCAGCGTTTGAGTATCACTGATGGACTTTCTTTTTTTGTACATTGCATTTTGTGAATTCAGGTGCTGCTTTGTACAGATTGTGAAATTCATTCATTTTTATTCTTCCACCAAACTAAATAAGGAAGCTTCCAGATGCTCTGCTAGAATTAGCACTGCGGTTCATCACACTGAAACGACAGGCTCATCTGCCGGCGCTGTGCGGCTCACGTTGATCTAGACAGAAGTCTAACAGGCACGTGGAGAATTGTGTTTTTGGCCACAGATGTTTCCTGAGCATGCCGATTCAGTCAACTGACGACAAACCCGCAGGGAAACTTGTGTTTATTGCCATCACGTTGGGCAGAGAATTGAAACCTGTTCCCCTGGATTGTGGTACGTCATGTTCATTTAGTCTGTTTATTCGGCTCGGCCTTGTTTACCGAAGAGCTGGATAATTGAAACTTAACAGGACTGAAGGCAAATCTTTTTGTTCCTGAGTTTTGATTTCAGTCTGGTTTGTACATATTGTTTCTCTCTGCTGTTGTTTACAGCTAATCCTAATAAATAAGAGCGGATGTTAACAGGATATGTCTTATTTAACCTCAGGGCTCAGATCTGTGGAGGGGGTTATTGGCTCTTATGTACTTGAGAAGCGAAAACGCCAACCTGCATATTAAAAACGGCATCATTGTTAATCACAATGTGTAGAATGTCTTGTTTCTCTGTAAATTACTGGGATGATGAAGAGTGTTCATATTACTGCGGGAACTGAATGGGCGCTGCTGCCTGATCAATACTGCCTCACAAAGCTCAGTCAGCCTTTATTGTGATTATGAATTACTGGATCAAATGAGGAGAAAAAAGCTGCCGTTAGTTTAAGCCTAGTTTAAGAATAAAGATCATATTTCAAGTGCATTATTAATTGATGAGTATAATAATTGGGTTGAATGCAAAGCTATTCATCTTTCATTATAATATTTGTATTCTCACTATTTCATAACTAGTTGCTTATTAGCATGCATATTACTAGCATATTGGCTATTAGTACTTATAAAGCACATGTAAATGCCTTATTGGCAGATGGAGGTTTTGTTTAATTTCACAAAAACATGGCTCATATTTCAGCCTGAAGTCAACTTAAATGTAATATAATATAATATGATATGATATGATATGAGATGATATGATATGATATAATAATGTAGTGTACATTTGTAATTATACATT